TTTGCTAACGCAGCACTCCCATATCCAGAGCATCAGCCTGCAGGAAGAGAGTCTGAACCTCTGCCTAAAGTTGGCACCTATTTTCCATGACAACATAGAGCTTTTTTACACCCTGCTCTAGCCATAAGACATCTACAACTCACTCTTCACAAATTCCTGCCCCACTCCTACCCTAGGAGACAGACACTATTGCTCTTAATCAATAAGTGGATTTCCAGAGAGCAGTTGTGCGCTTTTCAGCTGTATGGACTGAGAAGGTAAGTCCTGAGACACCTCAGGCTGGGCAGAAAAGACAGTGGGTCCCCAGAGCAGGGGGGCAGAGGAGGGAGGTGATGTTTATTTTAGGAGCATGCATCAAGATCAGTATCTAGAGCCTTACACAAGCTCAGAGCACAGGGAGTTTTGACTGGGCCAGGGTCAGGGAACTGGTGTTTATGAGCCCTCTGAAAAAAATGAACATATGAATATTTGCTCTGATTTCTGTAACTGCACGTGTGGCCATGCTGGAGACATACCACAAGAGGGAGCGGGACACTGGAGCTGGACAGTGGTCCTCTCCAGACATCCCCACAGACAGTTGCTGAACACCATTCAGGTGTTGCACAGTGGAAAGCCAAATAGCAGCTTTCTCTAGAGAATTTTTACAGGCCAAAATGAAGGGATTAGGAGCTGCCCACACCAGCTTGGATTTTCATGTACTCTGTATAAACCCAAAACTATTTCCCTCAGCAAACAAGTGCGAGATTGTGATAGACCCCCTTGTGCTCTGCGCTGAAACAGATTTTTCCACTCGGCATTTGCTCATAAAAACAGGACGATGAAAAGCAATGTAGCCACAGATGTTGATGGGAACTGACTTGCTGATGTTGCTCATTCAGGCATCCTGCTTCTGGGACAGCTCGGTCCTTACCTGGCCAGAGGAGCTGCCCTCTCATGGGTGAGCATCACTCTCCCTCAAGACACTGTGTGGTTATCTCCCCCTCCTGTCATACCTCCATTTCCATTGCTGCCTCTCCACACACCTCCAGAAAAATCACAGGCTGGAAAAAATTCTGGAACTGAAACAGTGGGTTTGGTCATAGTCAGCCTTATAGCAGGAGGTTAGACCAGAGGTACTGCAGAGTTCCCTTACCTTACTAGAGAAGTTTTGGAGCATCATCTGGTTTTGACACTGTCTCCCATAACATATTCATAGACGAGTTAATGAATTAAGAGCTAGATAAATAAACAGCAAGTTGGGTTGAAAAGTGGCTGAATGGTTGGGCTCAAAGGGATGTAATCAGTGGCACAAATTACAGCTAGAGTCATCATTAGTGGTATAATCCAGGGGTTGTACTTGGGCCAAAATTCTTTAGCGTCTTACTTAATGACCAGAGTGATGGGTTAGAGTGCAAATTTGGGTAAGATACAAAACCAGTAGTGTCTGATACACCAGAGGGCTGTGCTGCCATCCAGAGGGTCCTCAACAGACTGGAAAGATGGTCTGACAAGAACCTCATAAAGTTCAACAAGGAGTTCAACAAGCCCTATATCTTGGGAGAAACAATTCCATGCACCAGTGCATACTGGGGCCTCCCAGCTGGAAAGCAACTTGGCAGAAAAGGCCGTGGGGGTCCTGGTGGACACCAAGTTGACCATGATCTAGCAATGTGCCCTTGCAGCAAGGATGGTCAACGGCCTCCTTGGCTGCATTAGGATGAGCTTTGCCAGCAGGTTGAGCGAGGCGATCCTTCCTTTTCACTCAGTACTGGTGACACACATCTGGGGTATAGTGCCCAGTTTGGGGCTCCCCAGTACAGGAGAGACAGGGACATTCCGAAGAAGACCAGCAAAGGTCCTCAAAGACGGTTAAAGGACTGGAGCATGTGTCATACAAGCAGAGGCCAAGAGAGCTGGAACTGTTTAGCCTGGAGAAGTGAAGGCTCACAGGGATCTTACCAGTGTGTACAAATGTCTGATGGGGGAGAGTAAAGAAATCAGAGAAACTTTTCTCAGTGGTGTCCAGTGACAGGAGCTCAGCTCCTGGGAGTGACTTCCTCACTAGTGAGGGAAGACGAAGACCTTATAAACATGGGCTATGTTTTACACATCCACAGCCCATCCTAGCAAAGGCAGACCAGGACTTTAGTTATAACAATTCACAGAGCCCCATACGTGGATTTACGTCATTTTAAAGCACCTGCTGGAGTCCAAGAGCTGATGCAGCTCCCTGCACAGACCTAATCCCTGCAGTGCAACCTGAGCAGAGGAACACAGCCAAAACCAGCAGCGTAATGGCAATATGCTACCAAGTGGTTTTCAATGCACCTCTTGAAGGCCACTGGGCCTAGTGAGAGGTGTGGAGACGGAGCGTGTGAAGCTGGATTAGGGCCATGAAAGTCTTTCCTGGAAGAGCTGACAAGCTCAAGCACTGTGCCCAGCTAACACAGCTAGACATTTCCTGCCTGGCGAGCTAACAGAGTCTGGTTGGGATCCAACCACCAACACCTCTTCTGACCATGGGCTCAGTCCAAGGGGTGTTCTCAGAGCCACATTCCCTCAGAGCACAGAGGACAGAAGAAACACATCAATCAGCTTCACTGGCAGACAGCTGATGAGTTGAGCCATAGATTCAGCCCTCCTAAATCAAACAGGACTCAGCTGCCAGACACCAACTCCAGCTGCCTTGTCCTCAGCACTGAGTGGTCTTCACAAGCACCTAAAATTAAGAGGCAACTCGCTAGTCACCTGTGAGTGTCACCTGCATGCTCAGTTTGCACATCATTACGTGGCTACCCAGAGCTCACTCAGAGCTGGTGGCCTACTTGCAGGCAGATGGTACCCAACAGCTACGTAACAGGCACATGGCTTATTTTGATCCTTTTGACAAGGAATAGCCTCTACTGTTTTAGTCTTCCCACCTTGAATCCCAAAGCCCAAAAGACAAGAGCAGGTACCTATGCTCTTGAGTGCCCAGCACCAGTGGTTAGCGATGGACACCTGGCTTGGAGTGGACTGAATTACACCTGGGAGGTTTTCTATCATTCTCATAGGGAATATCAGTCCTCAGGCAACAAGGAGCACTTTGGCCATCTAAGGCACACAGCCACAGGCAGGCGTTCCTGCACTTGACTCCAGCACCCAGTCTGGGATCTGGCCCAGACCTCTTCAGAAGGATAATTGTTGGAAATTCAGGGAATCCCTAAGGCAGTTGATGCAGCAGTTAAACGCTTCCTGTAGTTGGCTGCACCTAAGATCTGGTGAACCCATCACATGGCAGTGGAGATCATCAATGCTCTGCCTCTAGTTCACAGAGCAGGCTGCTGCCAGGGACCTCATTCCCACGTAGGCATCAGCAGACTGTGATCCTGTTACTTATTAACCAGCTCTAATAATCTAAACAAAGCATCTCTCCAAGACATCCATCACAGACCTGCAAGCCAATGGCTTTTTTTGTGTAAATTCCCTCCAACGTGTCAACAACCCCATTAAAACACCAGAATTGGATAGGGTGGCCCTGAATCTGGTTCCCTGGAGAAAAGAGCCACCTCACCGCTATGCAGATGCAGTCAGCACAGCCTGACAGTGAACCCTGCCTGCCCCTTCCACTGCATCCCTTTCACAGAGAGCAGAAAATATGATGTTTGAAGCGACTTAAGTACAGTCCTGAGTGTCCCTGAAACACAAGAGATATGAAGTCCAAAACTCAATCTGATCAGATTCCCTATCAGGATCTCCCATTCAAATTACCTGATGTATTTACCTTCTTTTGAAATGCAAGGATTAATTTTACCAGTGAGAAAGCAAAGGCAGCCCAAAGAGAAATTAATGATAAAGAGAAAAAATTTTACTGTGTTGGAATAAAGCAGCTTCCCCTGGAAAATTTCATGTAATGTGCTGCTGTGCACAAAGTCAGTGGATGGTAGTGTCTGGCTCACTCACAACGGCTGGTGCCTGTTTGATTAGTGGAAGCCTTGCTCACACAGCAGTGCTAAGCTGACAACTACTATCAGATACCCTACTCTTAGGGGGAAAAAAAAAAATCCAATGTCCTGTTAAAAACATCTTCAACAAAAGAGAAGCACCCTGGGAATGAACACTGTGAGAATAACATCACTGCAGCTCATGCAGATGCTGAGGTTGTTTCCACAGGGCTGGAGGAAGCAAAGTCATAAAACTAGACGGGTTCTTGTTCAACAATGAACCATTCGCTCCAGCACTACAGTGAATTTGCAGGGTTTTTTCTCTAAGCCAACACTGTAAGAGTCCTAAAGTGAATTAAACTGTGGTTTAAATTAGCCTAACAGGCTCCTTAAGTTTGCTAGCTTTTTCTCTGCCCTTTCTCCTATAATTCACTACTTCTTCTCTGCTGTTCACAGTGATCTCACAGCCTTATAAACCTCTCAGATATGACACACTTCTGATATTCAAGATCCCTTCAGCAATCCAGGGAGGCCAGGTTATTAAAAGGGAAGGAGAAATACCCCTTGTATTTCTCAAATAATTGATAAAAAGCAATTAAACAACAGAAGGCTACTAGGTCCTTTGCTCTGGTATGTTAACAGAATAGTGCCTCCAAAAACTACCCAGAAACAGGAAAACTGGGCAGGCTGCTGAACACGACACACTGTGTTGCACATTCCCAGGTCAGTGTTTTGAGAGGGAAGGATGCTGAGCTGTCCTGAATAAGGAGAATAACCCTAGAGAGGTCAAGCTCAGGTATAGCGAGAGTGTGTTTTGAAGCCTTGAGTCCTTTTAATTGGTGGAAGAGGAGAAAGTACTGAGTTAAAGGACAGTTAGTTTAAAAAAATTTAAAAAAAAATCAAACAAAACAAACAAAAGCAGCAGGGAAGAGAATATTTGGAGACGCTGTTGGCAAGAGACCAATGACAGAGCAAGAGGAAAGGTGGAGAATTCAAGAGGGAACCTTCTTAACATTTGCTTGGAACTCACTAAGTGGGAGGAGAAACAAACTAATTAGTAATATCAGGACAGGAGCCATGCTAGCCTATATAAGCTGGTGGGGCATATTCTTTTTTCCCACTTTCTCAGCCTTGTTTCCCTTCTATTCTAGCCAGCAAAGCAACAGCTACCCCTGAACTCATCAGAGAGGTAAGAGCACTCTGTTCCTTCCTTTTAATGCACAGCAATAAATATGCACCCTCTTGCTGACTTAGTGACTTACCTGGATCTCTCTTCCCCCCCAAAAGACCTAACAAATAGCGTGTGAGCAGTCATTCAGAGTGAGAGCAGCTAAGGCTTAAGAGGACCAAAGAGGTTAGAGAATGTCACAAGAATTTCAAATATTGAGAATTTTCTATCAGGGTGAGGATTTATTAGTACTGCTTAGACCACTTGGCTGAACTTTTTGAGAAAAAAGAAAAAAAAAAAAAAAGCAAAACTCACTGGAACTCTTTAACATCTCCCTTTACTGCCTTTCTATTCTGCAAAATGGAAAAAGCTCAGATAGTAATAATATACAGTTAATGTGATAGTGTCTACAGATTTCTCTGTCCCCGAGAGACAGATCTCTGAAAACTGAATTGCAAATGAATTTAATGAATATTTGAATCTGAGGGATAAGCTTTCTTTTGAGCTAATGCTTTGAAATGTATCTTCTACAGGAAAACTTGAACTTCTTTTTCAGTGAGGGTCATGTGCATTATAATCTCTCTGTTTTGGCGAGTGTGCTTGTGCATGCGTGTGTTCCTATACATAACACAAGACTGTACTCATCCAGTTTTCCTGAACCCCTGGTAAGATTACACAGTCTATGCTGGAATTAGAGTTTCTGAGAATCTGGCCCTTTCCTCCTATTGTACTTGGATGCAGGAATTCCTCTGAAAACATGCTGCACCCAGAGCTGGCTGCCTGCACACTTCACAGCAACAATTCAGAGAATGTAAGATACAATGACTGTAATTGTGCAGTAGCAGTTCCTTGGACAAACAAATACCACACAGTAATTTAAATCCTCTTGATTTACAAAGCAACTTGAATTTTGTCAGGGAGAGAGGAAAATTCCAGTAATAAGAGAAAGTGCTAGATAACTTTGCTACATTTTCAGAGATAAAAGCCCAGCCACTAGCAGCACAGGCACTAGCTTGGAAATAACTATTATCTGGCAGAATTAAAACAACTAGCCAAATAAAAGCCTCTGTTCCTTTCCCTTCTGCAAGCACAGCACCACTCTTACCATGCATAACGCATAATGAATGTGCGATCAGGCTTGTCTCCATTTCAGCACGTGAATAAAAAAGTATTCGCAGGCCAGATGTTGAAGGAGTGCAGCACCAGCATGGAGTCTGCTTTGCTGCAGCTTTAACGAGGCATTACTGAGATGCCGTAGGTATGGCGTGACATGGAAGAAGTGTACACAAGTGGAAGAGAAATTGATCTAGGGAGACGTGAAGTTGCATAACACCAGTGCTTTGCTACAGAACATTTATTAACTCTGAAAAGATGATAAAAAAAAAAAAAAAAAAAAAAAAGAGATTAGCTTCTTGGCTCTGTAATGATTTTGTTTCGATGAAAGAGAAACATCCGTTGTTTTTTTTTTCCTTTTCTATTCTCACGGGTTCCATTTCATAGCTGATACAAAAGTATTTAGACACTTTTAGCTGCAAAACTTCTTTTTGCTTACATGAGCATCCTTAACAAGGATGACAGAGAGATATTATCCAACAGCACAAAGATATCTAGGCAAGGGGAGGCAACAGACATCTGGAATCACTTGAGAAAGGCAGCAGTGCCCCAAATCTAGCTCTCACTTCCCACAGTACACCATGGGAAAATAGTTTTAAATAGTTCCTCTGCACTTGCAGAAGAGCGTAAATCAGCACTTGCACCACAGAGTCGAAAATCACATTCAGATTCACTCTGCCCGGGTCCTGCTGCTGCTCCTGTATCACACCAGTTACACACTAGCATCGGTAGCCCACACTGGATTTTCTACCAGATGCATGTCTGGAGAACCTCTCTAGAACACATATGAGATCAGACAGTGCACTTCAAGCTGTGTGCCTGAAAGCAGGACATACACAGTCTTTAGTTAAGAATGTGAGATAAACACTTTCCCATAATAGAAATAAGGAATAAAAAAAAAAAAATAAAAAAAATAAAAAAAAAATAAAAATCCTGTCCCACTCTGTCATAGAAATCCCATTTTCCAACACCCTTGGAAGGCAAGCAGTCTGTTCCAGCAAAATACTCCTTCCATAATTATTTCCATTTCCTTCCTTCGTCCACTAAACAAAAAAGCCCATTTGGACTGAGAACTGCATGTTAACATAACTTTGATAGCAATTCTTCAAAAGACCTACTTTAGACTGGCCTTCATGCAATTTCCATCAGAACGTGCACACTTCAGCTTGAATTAAAATTCAAACATCACTGCCTTAAAATTCTCTGAACATCTCCATGTCTTCTGTTCTTTCTTAAAATGGCTGCTATCACCTACTCCTTCAAACAAGATAAAGTGTTAGCAGATCTTTAATATGAGCATATGCGGCAGCTATTGCTTCTTACAATACCAAAAATTATTAAAATTGCCCCCCAAAAAATTATCTGCTGGTGCCAGTTTCCAAGTGGTTTACTGCTCCTTTATACTTTCTTTGAGCACCTAAGCAGAATTAGTGCAGGTCCTCCATGCTCTGCGTTTGTGGACAGATGGGACAAGCCATGGCTGTGGGACAGCCAAACCACCGCACACAGCAGCCCTCACACAGCACCCGGGATGTGATTTGGGGTGACAATGAAGCCAAGAGGGCTGGATCTGGATCTATAAGGTTTCATAGAAACCCCACCTGGAACAAAGAGTGCTCTTAGCCTACCCACTACATACCAGGCTGCTCTGCAGGTGATGGAGGAGTTTTGTAATTTTTTTCCCCTTTAGCTGATAGGAAAGCTGATAGGAAAGATGAACTGAAGTTCATGTGACTCCTCTCTAGAGACACATCTTTTGATGGACAGGGACATAATGAACTTGAGTTTGACCACTGGCCAGAAGGTGCCCATGATCACCCCACAGGCACTCTGATTTTAAATACTGTGGAAGAACAGGTAGGCACGGCATTGACGCAGCCTTCATCGGGGGGTGAAGTTCAAGCCAGCCTGGTGGAAGTGACTCACCCGGTCACCTGGTCTTTTTGTTGTGCCAAATGCATCGATCTGACTTCATTCCCGCCCATGAAAACCCCATGCAAAGGAGTTCTCCAGACTTGCACAGTGCAGCATGGCTCATACTCTGCCAACAGACAAGTATCTGCCACAGAGCAGATGAAAGATATTATATCTCACAGGGAATTACAGCATGTAATTATTACATATCCCAGGGTAAAAATTACCTTGCACAAGAAAGAAGCAAAACTCCGCTCAGGAACTCACTAAGGGAGAAGTTCTTTCTCATTCATTCAGCAAAGCACTGAACTCACATTGCCTCACTGGGAAGTTATGTGTGCACTTTAGTGCCTTCCTATAGCAAAGCAACTCAAAGTTTTGGTGAATTAGGGCTGGCTGGTTTTCTTCTCCACCATGCAAGTGCACCAGAGAGTGACTCTGACATGCCTTCACGTGCGCATTACATCCCGCACTGCAAAACAACTCCAGACTCCTGTGGTGCAAACAGCTGCTCACTCAGCATACAGGGAAACACATGGGGCATACTAGCACAGGACACACAACATCACTCTGCAAATGCAAATGCAACAGCCCTTAAATTTATGGATTAGCAACAGAGAAAGCCTAAGTTATATAAAAAGGAATATTCTTTAAATTGAAAATGTAAATGCACTTTCACCAAATGAAGAGCATTTATCTTGGCTGGAAATTTTGATTTAACTGAAAGTGCATCCAATTCACTTATTCTATTACTTCAGAATAAAATATGAGAAAAGTGAAGGTTAATGAATCAAGGTAATGAATTATAACTGAGCCAGGAAAAAGCCTTCCAGCATTGAGACGCCATTCCTAGCAACACTCTCATCCTTTTCTTTTCTTCCTCCTCTAGTTAAGCTCCTTGCCTTTGTGTCCTATATAAAGTCAAATTCATACTCTTCTACTTACTGGTCCCATCTTCAGCCTCTTTCATGTGGAACCTATCCTTGCATTAGCAGGGCCCTTCCAGAAGGCAGAAAATGTCTATTTGTTAGTTGTGCAAATATTTACTACTTCCCGAAATGTCACCATCAGCCTTCCAATAGCACACAGAAAGAAACTGGTCAGGATATACAGTAACCAGCCATTCTCCTAAACAGACTCAGAGCTGCTTAACCACACATCTGGGTCTGAAAATGTAATGCCCAGGGGTGAGGCTGTTATAGATTAAGTACTCAGCACCTCTATTTCTGAAGTATGAATTTTCTTCCCAAGCCTCCAAGAAGGCTTTTACTGAAGTTGCAAATGGTTCAAGACTAACTCCAATAATTACGTGCCTGTATCATCTTATTCAGACTATTAACTCACAACCTAAATTCTTTGCTTCTTGCACAAGCTTTGCAGCTCTGGTTCTGCATTCACTCAACAATGTACCTGGTCTTACGTTTTCTTTGTCTTGACAATTACCAGGAATTACTCCTACTCTTCAGGAAACTGAGTACACTCTGGGGAAAGGTTTGGCTGTTTTTTTTTATTTGCTAACTTAAGGTTGAGAATTGGCCCTTAAGCAAATAACAAATTGGCTGTAAGACATTGTTTTTAAAATCCAGTGTTTATGGTTATATGGAAGTCTCTGATGCACATGCCTGACTGAAGCTGTCTAGAGCAGTATGAGGTGCTACAGGGTATTCCAGCAGCTCCCAGGCCAAAGATCTCCCATTTCTGCCAGCCCCGTGTGGATAGCCCAAACAGCTTATTCAGGCCTTAATAACTTTGTTTGTCCTATAACTCCCCCCTACCTTATTTAAGTCTTGATATAGTGCCTGCTAAATGTAACAAGGGTCTTTTCATTAATCTCTGACAGTTTCTTACTACTGGTTCCAATATGTGGTCATCTACCTTGTCTTATGCTGAAGAACGTAGGCCAGTGCTGACCACCTAACACCTTACTGGGCAGCTGGCAGATAGAAGGCAACATGACTAAGGCAGAATAGAAAGCAAGAACTCTGAATTTGGCCTTTAATCTTTTAAATTGGTGCTGGACACTTCTAAAGATGGGGCAGCTAAAAGTACAATCCAATAGAGAAAAAAAATTATTTATGCATATGATTAATGGAGTAAGACCACCATGAACAACCCCCAAGCTAAGCCCATGCTCATGAGAAAGGCTGAACTGATCCCAATAGGTGACGGTATAGAGACTATAAACCTAAGTTTAGGCACCTATTATTGATGGCTGATGGATAAATTTGAACTGTAAATATGGGTTAAGCAGCAAGGGAAACCTAATCATTGAAGCAGCTTCCTAGATTGTGGTACAACTACCAACTTCTGTGTTCAGCTTCTATCAAGTTGAATCTTAAGGTAACCTTTAACTTTGGTGAAGCCTTGTCTCCTAATGTTGTCTTGCTCTTCTTGAAGTCACCTTTTAAATCGAGAATTGTTTGATTTCTAGAAAACACAGTATAGCTAAGCAGGGTGTTAAAATCAGGTGAGATACTACTATGACACAAGGCTCAGTGGTAACTTCTGGTATTCACATCTATGACTGCATGAAAGTCTGGAAGGACAGAGCATGGTCCCAGGAACACATGAAGAGGAAATGTGCTCATGAAGACATGAGAATCGGGTGTTCAGAGTAAGGATTTTCCTCTTTCTGGCTCCAAAATTACATATGGTGAGCAACAGTACGTAGTAGAATAAACAGGGATCTGTAAGAGGCATTGTAATGGACCTTTTTTTTTTTTTTTTTCCTTGAATTTTACCAAAGGGTCAGAACATGAACATGGAAAACAGTGTTGATCTGAAGATAGAAAGCAAGGCAGAAAGAAAGCCAGTAAAGCAGAATCCACTAAGCAAAGTTGGGAAGAGAGTCTGCAGAGCTCTCGGGTACATCACTGGAGACATGAAGGAATTTGGAGCCTGGTTAAAAGGTAAAGCTATTTCATCATGACTAATTAGGGAATTCCAAAGAAGAATTACATCAAAGGAGTAATAAGTAACTTCTCAGCAACATGATTCCAGTTGGAGTAGTACAGAAACTATATCTGCCCTGATTTATTTCCATTGTGTAGGGAAAAAAATCAGCTTTGTGCAGAGATCCACATACTGCTTAAATCTTGAGGATGACTGAGATGACATTTACCTCCCAACATGCCATGTGCAAAGCAAATTTAGTCCCATAGAACACAGCCTGGGATGGCTATTCTGTGCTTTGCCATTCTTCATAACGTTCCCTGTCCTTTCAGTTGAGCAGTTGCTGTCAAGCCTAATGCCACTGTGAAATTAAATTACACATAGGTAGGTGTGTTTGGTCCCCATAATAAATCACCAACAGGATACATACATGATTTGCCATCTGAGGCATAGACATCATAAATTAGCCAGTTCACATGAAACCAGTCCAGGGTACTTTATAACAGGGGACTCTGGCAACCACACTGTTCATCCCAGCTTTCCAGCTGTAAGACTTCAGTATAGACCATAATAAATCCCAGTCAGGTTTTACAATCTTGTTGATTTATTGCTTCAGTTGTGCTGCCAATTTCCACTGCCAAAACTCTTCCTGAGTTTCAAAAAACACCATCCCAAATCAGTATCATCTGCATATTTGGGAGTTTTGGGGTTTTCATTATTTAATTTGATCTCTTCCAGATAAACCTCTCATGATCCAGTTTATTGACTGGGTGTTGCGTGGGATATCCCAAGTGATGTTTGTCAACAATCCCTTCAGTGGGCTCATCATGGTTGCTGGCTTCCTGGTGCAGAACCCGTGGTGGACACTCACGGGCTGTTTAGGAACAGTTGTCTCAACTTCAACAGCACTTGCTCTGGGTCAGGACAGGTAAATCCATCCTTTTCCCCTTCAAAACCAGACTGTCACTTCAGTGATGGCTTTTGTGTTAAACAAGCTCCATGGATGAAAAGCACATATCCAGCCTTCACTAGCTACATATCTGATCTGGTATGACCAGAGAGATCTTCCCACCGCCTGCATCTGGTGCAAAGGGACACTGGACATAACTGCAAAAGGGATAGTTGCTGAGAAGACATGGCCCACGAGCATGTGAAATTGAAGGTTGATGCATGAGCCTTGTCAGGTCGTCATCACACAGAGCCACGTGGGGAGGGCAGGGGTGATACAAGCAAAGAATGTACATGGGGGGGAAGATTTCAAGATGGTTGTTTCCTTCATACAGATCAGCCATATCAGCAGGCCTGTACGGCTATAATGGGGTCTTGGTGGGATTGCTCATGGCTGTCTTCTCTGCTAAGGGAGACTACCACTGGTGGCTTCTACTACCGGTAGCACTGGTGTCCATGATGTGGTAAGTCAGATGGCTCCTCTTCTTATTTCGGCCCCGGTGGCCTCACGCTGAGACAGAGCTGTTGTATTTTTACGCACTATACAGATTAAAGTGAGAAAGAAACACAACTGGCACCTATGTGCTACTAAATCTGTATCATTATTTGTACTTTTAAACTCAAATGTAATCCCAAAACAAATAAAATACCCACATAATCACAAATAAACCCAACAGGGAAAAGGAAAATCGATGGTTGACCATATGTAATTCAATGCCCTAAATGTTAGCCATATTGCTGCGATGCGTCAATTCGTTTTTGTCTCAAGAGGAACATTATTTTCACCATTGCCTACCACCATCAACCACAAGTGTTTCATCTATTTAAGCCATCATATAAAAATGTCAAGAAAATTTACCTCTCCAGGCACAGAAGCTGTTCAGTGGTCCCAAGACATGATGGTTGATGCTAATGAAAACAAACAACTAATAATACTTTACTCTTATATATGACACCATAATCTGCTAGGTATTTGGACAGCGAAATTTTTGAAAGCTGTTTTTTGGCCCCCAGATGTCTAGTTGGAGACTGCTAAACCACACATATCATCTGTCTGGCTGGAGTTAATGTGGTGTTATACTCACTTTAATAAGCATACCTTTGATATCAGCCCTTTCTTCTAATGATCTTGATCTGTAAGCTTGAACAAGGACACAGGGCCTTCTTCACAGTTTACTCAGGCCTGACATGGGTGTCCTAAATTCAATCCACTTCAAGTGCTAAAAGAAAAAAGTAAACGCTGACACTGAGCTGGGAAGTAACTTCAATAAATGACTGGATTCTCCACACAAGTGAAGGATCTTGGCTCCTTCATGGTCACCAAATTCACCTACATATATTGCATAACACAATAGGAATCTGTAACTTACTAACTGCCCTGGGAAGGGTAAGAAAGTTACTGAGTGACCCTAGCAAAACTCTGTTTGTATCTGAAAGACTGAGGAAATGAAACAGCTTTTTATAAAAAATAGAGTGAATTTCCTGCAGTTTTTTTGTTGTTGTGTTGGGTTTTTTCCCCAGATGTCAAGCTCCTCTTGAGATCATTTTGTTCTTCTTTCAGCCCTGTTTTCACCAGTGCTTTGGGTTCAGTCTTCTGTAAGTGGGATCTGCCTGTTTTCACCTTGCCTTTCAACTTGGCCTTGACCCTCTATCTGGCTGCATCAGGACCCCATAACCTCTTCTTCCCTACAACTGTCATTCAGCCTGCAACAGCAACTCCAAACATCACTTGGACTGATGCTGAAATGCCGATGGTAGGATATCTTAAAGATAACAGCCTTCTCCATTTACAAATAAAACCAGTATAGAATCATATTATCTTTCAATACGTTACTGCATTATGTCCTGGCAATACAAAATTGTGTTTATAAGATAGCTGTTATCCAAAACTTAATGGTTTATGCTAGGAACTGAGATTTTTGACAGCTTGAAATTAAGAATCTCTTTGGTATCTTTCATATGCAGTTGGATCTAAATGTATATATTATAATCTTCAAAGAATCTCTAGAATCTAATCATCCATTACCATGTGTATACTGATCAGGGCCCCATAGCTAAGCTTATGCTGATTCTACCAGTTATCTCACTGGTTAATTTTAGTTTTCCATGTACAGAGTGCTGTATTTTTAAAATTGCATCTTTCTGATTAGAAGTGAGCAAGCAGATATTACTATGGAAGAATGGTTACAAACTTGAGTGCAGGCACATGTTCACATATTTGTAGTTAATATTCAAGTGGGACTTTTCCAAATAAACATTTTATTCTCCTGCATCGCCTCCGTAATGATATAGATACTAGAGTATTAGCTTTCCCCTGAGGCTCAGTGGATTATTTTGAGGGGTTCTCAGGGAGTTATTAAGAAAAGGAAGTTAATTGACACTAAATAGCAATCCACACTAGTGACATTTCTCAAAGAACGTTTACCATGGTGCATAATTTTATGGAGATCATAAATGGACTGTTCCACAGTGAGGAACATAACATTTTGAGGAAAAGTGTCTCAAAACCATCTCTAAGCTGTGACCAAGGCGAGATCTGTCCCACCAACCCAGCAACTCTCATGCATATTCCTAGGGAATCCCAAGGGAGTTTCAGGTACAGAAGTAGATCAGGGATATAGCCTTACCTGAATAAAGTCTTGTAATTCTGGCCAAGCCATTTTTGGCCATTTCACCCTTGGATCTGCAGACTCAGTGGTGAACATCTTTCCAAAGCCATAATCTTCCTGAACGTTTCCATTTCCCAGATTCAATGCCATGGTCCATAACAGCACGCAAAAATGGCCAAGGCAGCAGCACATGTAAAGATGGTGAGCAAACCCTTTCACAAAAGACATTTATCTTTGCCAGGTTTTTGCTTTAATATCACAGGAGCTCATGGCTAAGTATGACTCACTTTCATTGAAGGGGAAACTCTGTGGAAATGACTTCATATCTTCTAAGAAGTGTCCAAACTTTCCACTTACAGTCCAGAAAGAGAAACTGCATCCAATAAATGTTGAACAGGAACAAGAAAAATAGGGTTTTTTAAAAAAAAAAAAATATATATATAAAGCAAATAACAAATTATCTTTTCTTTTTTCTTTTTCTTTTTTTTTTTTTTTTTTAATTTCTGCAGCTTCTGCAATCCATTCCAGTTGGGGTGGGTCAGGTTTATGGCTGTGATAACCCCTGGGCTGGGGGAATTTTCCTGATTGCTTTATTTATCTCTTCTCCACTCATTTGTCTGCATGCAGCAATTGGATCAGCAGTGGGGATGTTGGCAGGTAAGGATTTCACATGTGTCACAGATTTATATAAAAGCATGGAGAATAAAAGAGGAACTGCAATGAGTGCACCACTTACAGTCACAAATGTTATTTCCATTGGAGAATGACTGCTTGAAAAAAAAATATACATACTATTCTGTTTTAAGAATTCTCTTGATTGACTTCCCCATTCTTTTACTCATTTTATGATAGAAATCTTCAGAAGAAAGAAGCATATTTTTGGCTGAAACAATTTTTTATCATGAAATACTTCATTTCTGGATATATTCTGATGGGCTTAGGAGCAGCTTAATAAAAGTCATAGCCATCAGTCTGAACGTGCAGGCCTCAGGGATGCATTTAAGGTTCACACATACGTTCACTCACTCATATATCTTCTGCTGAAATCGCACGGCCGAATTCAGCTCAGCAGCACCGAGGAAATTCTGCCATGACTGCATTAGATTAAAGTGGCTTTAGTCCTAGATCATAGCAACACAACTACAAATAGGAACTCTGTGTACGTATGTGGGCTAGGCCCTTAAAAAGCTGGATTTGTACCATTTTTCAACTGCTTTTATCTCTTTGGCCAAGGAATGACACATCTTTGACTTATTTTCCAGCGCTGAGCTTAGCAACACCTTTTAGAAAAATCTACTCTGGCTTGTGGGGCTACAACAGCTCCCTCTCATGTGTTGCGATCGGAGGCATGTTCTACGCTTTCACCTGGCAGACACATTTGCTGGCAATTGCCTGTGGTACGTACCTGATGGATTTTCACTACTGTTCCATTCCCTTTTGAAGTGAGACAAGATGCATTCATACTGGAGGTGGGCTGAAGCCAGATGGACACCTTTACACAGGCAGATGTACTTAGGGGAGGCTGACCAATGATTGAGCCAGATGTTGGAGCCATTGCTCTAACATAACCTGACAAAATAAAAACAGTGCTTTCACTTTCAGCCAAGAGCTGTGTTCAAAACAAGAGACACGATCAGTGGATGCTGATTAACTAAGGTCTTTGAAAAGAGATACTTAGTTTTGAGGCATTAATTGTGCTTGTTCAACATTGCTGGATGAATCATACTGTTTTTTCCAATCATAGATACCACCTCAAATTGCTTCTTTGGAGAAGGACATATCTAAACTTTGAGAAAACTGGAGCTCAAGATCAGTCCACAGCTGTAGCTAGACAGTATAGTTTCCCCAGTCTTTTGAAATGGATACCAAAGGCATGAGCTAGGCAACACAAAATGATTGAAGAATTATTTATAAGGCAATTCCATATGAAATTTCAATATCACAGTGAGCTGGGAGTGAAACTATCGCTCATTCAGTGCTCATATAAAAAAGATTTAGCTTTGTATCTCATTGACCCACCATATAGCCCTAGAGGCAGGAGAGATGGGGGTGGATGGGTTATCTTCCTATTTAACCCCATCCATCAAGCTACATACTTTTCACATCAGTGCATTTTTCAAAAGCCTCTGTTTCCATAGTCACATTTTTCATCACTCCAGTTCTTTTATTGTTTTGCCCTTTCCATGAGCTCCAGGTTGGAGGGGACACAGTTCAAAGGACAGAGCTTTGAGAGGAGGCTGTCCAGGCATGGTCATAAACATCAGTTGAGCTACCCAAGGCAGTGTGAGAGATGTTCATCCTTGATGGTCCCCTCCATGAGCAACTGAACTCACCTTTCTTTTTCACAGCGCTCTTCAGTGCCTACCTGGGAGCAGCAATGACTAACATGTTGTCTGTGGTAAGTAGTATATTAGATAACATCTTTGTTCCAAAGACAGATTTGAACACTGTATATTTTCCTGGCTTGTGAAGCAAAACACCAAGACTCAGAGAACAATTCAGCCAAAGGCAGAACTGGTCTGGGGAAGGAGACACAGCCTGCCCAGGGGGTTGGTGTGGTTCCCACTGAAGCAGGCCACTTACAACCATCACCACTTCTTATCCTCAGAGTTTGCATGAACTTCCACAGCTCAGCCCTCAACACTTCTGAGATAATTGTATGTGTCTACACTTCATGCTCAAAGCAATTGAGAAAAGAGCCGTCTACACACATAAAGAAACCTCAAATTTGGTTTAATTGCTTCATGCAGGTGCCAAAAAGCAGTCAGTAAAGAAGCCCAGGGAAAAGCTGAATGCTTCTGGTATCTACTCTTGTCTCATACCCATCCACTCCCATCTCATCTCCATCCAACACCACTACAGATGCACAAAGAGAAGGCAACCTTCTCACCAGAGCTAGTAGATGTCCCAGGTTAATGCAAAATGTCGGGATCTCATAAAGAAATCCTGCCTCCTCAGGGTGGGACTCCATGCAAAACCAAGTCAAGACCTCCTTGAGAAAGCTTGTTCCAAGCTGCCTGTCTCTGAGTTTTGTTCAAGGGCTGGGGGACCTTGAAAGAAAAACACATCATAAATAGGTGATACGTATTTTTTTTTGCAGTTTGGGGTGCCATCAGGAACCTGGTCTTTTTGCTTGTCTGCACTGACCTTCCTATTAATAACCACAAACTACTCTGCCATCTACAAGCTGCCACTCTCCAAAGTCACCTATCCAGAAGCCAACCGAGCTTATTATCTGAAGATGAAGAAACATCAGAGGTCTTGCTGTGAAGTATAAGGACCCAAGAAGAGAAATATTTTGTAGATTTTAAGGCAAGAGTGCAAGGTGTTTCTCCAAAAAACATGATTTGTGTGCTACAAAGTCAAAAGACCAAAAATATCACCACCTTCTGAGTGGATAGATTTTTTCCACCACATTCTTTTGTTCTGTGCTGATTAGATAGGACTGTGCTGTGCTGGAAGGACCTTTCCCAAGACCAATCTGTAATGATTTAAAAAGTATATATGCCTGAAAAGACACTTTAATTTTTAGTAGTGGAGAAATGAATTAGAAGTTGAAAAGAAAAATCTTGTTTGTGAAATCCAAGTCACAGCAATTGGACATAAAGCAATAAAGAGCAGAGCATCTTTCACCATCTGATGGAACTCCTAATTAATGGCTAAAGCCAGCTTACAGAAGCAACAGGGTACATCTTAGAGAGCTTCATAGTAGCAGAGAAGTGGAATAAAGAGTACGCTATGCTAAGTAGAAAATAGGTGGTGCAGAATTCTACCTGGAGGATCTCTCAAGCCTGGTGGAGGGAGATGTGCATTAGCAGCCACCGCAAACAGGATGAACATAGATAAATTGCAGGCAGCATTACACTTGCAAGTTAACACTTGCAATATTTGTGGTAAAAATCACAACAATGGCAGGGAGGGGGTGTCTATCAGTCCCACCTTTTGGATGTTTTAGTTTCCACTAGGCTTTAACATTTCCTGAAAAAAAAAAAAAAAATGTTTCAGGCCTTCCCTGGTGAAGAGAAAAGTCTGTAAACTGAAGGCCAAGAAAGCAAATGCCAGTTAAAAAAATCTTTTTCTACAAAAAAAACAACCAACCAACCAAAAAAAAAAAAAAAATCGAAACAAAACAAAACAAAACAGTAGTAAATGTCATGATCTTATGCTGATATCATGATTATTCTTAAAAATTGAACTTGGTCATGGGTTAGCAAGGGGGGGGACAGCAGCAAAGTCATTCCTGTCCCTTTCCTATGCAGTGAAATGGCTCTGTTCAGTCTGTGCACAAGTAGAACCAATTTGAGCTGCGTTTGACACCTCTCCCTCCACCGTCCCCCTCAGCCTACACATATCAAGCAGCAAAATGCTGCACTGTCCCAGCCTGCTGCTGAAGTTTCTGGTCTGGCATTCCGTGGTGGGAAGAGGGGTGGTTGGGGATTGATGGATGTAGCAGAGCTCTGCAGCAGACCAGCCTTGTGCTGCCTCTGCCCAGGTTCCCAAGGTCTGCAGGTAGGGAAGGAAGAAGCTGACCTCACACCCCACAGTGCAGGTCACCTCAGTGGGTGCTAACTCAGCCGCCTTTCTGCTTGCCTTACTTAGAGGCTTCGTCTCACGATGAAGCTGACATCTTCACCACAAATACTCCATATGATCAGGTCCTTCTGTTGGCATTAGACTATGTGCAGTAATGCTGCTCCTGGAAAAGCAGATCAAAACCTGTTCTTGTAGCAGTGGAAATAAAATGTAGCCTGTGAACAGTGCTACCGCTGATTTTTTGAGGTTGGGAAAAAAATACATCTTTTTATGAACATCAAAAAGATACCAGTGAAAAATATCTGGGATGAACTGCTGGAAGTATTTTCTGGCGAAGTATTAGGTTCTCAGATGTTTGACAGTATTTCTGTATGACTGACACTCCAGAGACCACTTGTAAAAATGTACCATTTCCTATGTTTTACTTGGTAAATATCTACATAATACTGTGTGAAGATAATTTTTAAAACAAGTATTGATAGTTTTTTTACTTTGGTATAAGTTTTTCTCTATTTATCATCACTAAGGTCTTCCAAAAAACAGGTTATCTCTTAAATAAGTAGTCTAGAAGACGTTGGAAAATAAAATTACGAAATTGGTGTATGGGGGATATTTAGGGAACTTCTGCTCTTTGCACTTATGGCATTTTGTTGCATCAATACCTTCTTAAAAGAGCAAGTGTAAAGTCTGCTCCTGCACAGGAGGCATGATCAACCAAAGGCACAGTGTTGTGCCTGCAGAGCTACAGGCAGAGCTGGAAACCTTCTCGAGACCAGGTGAGGACTTGCTAGACAGGCCCCCAGATTGGGGTTAGATGGGGTAAAGTTATGTCCAGATGATGCACCTCTCCATTTGTCAAACTGTGATGGAAAAGGATATCTTTTGGTGTCTGAACTGACATCCCCCCACGCAGGAACACGTGCCCCAGGGAGGCAAGCCTACAAAGTCTAGCTTTCACTCTTCACTTGGGTAAAAGTACACAGTTTATGACCAGTGTAAATCAGCAGATTTCCTCCAACTGGTGCTATTGCAGCTTGCTGTTGCTGAGCAACAGGGACATTTTGGCAGTACCATAAAGAAACCATATGCACAGAACAGAAAAACAACAAAAGATGAGGGCCAAGTCTCAGCCATTAGAATGATTTTGCACATCATTCAGAATTAATTCTTCATTTTACACTATCCAGAGAATTCATTCTTCCCATTACCCCATACAAAATAACAGTTATTTGGTAATTTGACATGTATATCAGTCAGAATATGCATAGCATGCTTTATCCCATTATCATTCATAACACAGTCTTTGCTAACAGAACTAATTTATCTTATTATTTAAACTGTTTGGGTTTTTTTTCTTTAGATCAAATAAATGCTATTCAAGTCACAATTTTTCTTCAAGCACTCTTTTTGCATTCTTGTTTCTGACACACAGGTGATATCAGACTATTCAGAAACATTTATGTTGGGCAGGAGTTTTGGGGTTCTTTCCTGGACTACTTCCCTCCCAGTGCCAGCTTAACATAGCAAAAGAGATATCACTGCATTTAACATTTATTAAAAAAATAGTAATAATAGGAAAAAAAACCACACCACTGAACTACTTGAAAACATCTGTTTGGAATCAGATTTTATCTAAAAGTGTGAACTCACATGAACTGCCACACTGCCAATTCCTAAGCCACTCTCATTGCTTTTGTCTGATGTACATAATTGTCTCCAAAACTCCCATCTCCATGTCAAGCAACTGCCCCAGTCTCCTCCATTTGTCACTGGTGTATCTCCTGCTCCCCAGTACTTTCTGCTGTGGTTCAGTTGGCCCAGTAGCCCTGGCTGCAGCCACACACCTCGGAGTCCTGCATGGGGTTTGCTATTGGAGGTAAGAGAAAGGGACGCGTGAATGACAACTTCACACAAGAAAATCATAGGATGCTGAGCAAGAACCAGCAGATTTTTGTGAGCAGAGCTCACTCCTCTCCCTTCCCAAACCAGTGCTGCTTCTCCATGAAGCCCAGGGCATCTGACAACACCAGCAGCAGTACCAAGACATGGGCTACAGCCTTGATTTCCCCTTCCCCCAGCAAACCGGTATCTGGGCAAGTGCAGAAAAGCCCAATATTGAGCCATGAGGTGAACACACTACACCCTTGATGATGCTGAACTGGGAGGAGGAAACTTTCAGCCCACGTTACCTGAGGACCAGACCCAAGAGTTGGTTGCAGAAACAGAACCAAAAACAAGAGGTATGAGTGCAGCACTCTAACACTTCAGATGCTTAAATCTGGGTACATGCAATAATACAGTCTCCTTTATCTGATCCTCCAGAACTGCTGCAGGTTTTGTTTGCTTTTACCATGTTGTACATGAAATACAAACAGTATAAAGAATGCTCATTTTGATAATTATGTAATCTTTTGAATATTGACATTGGGTGTAAATGGTAGAATTGTCACAGACTTTGGTGATAGCTAGGAATATTTCACCTGATAAGAAGGATGCTAGCCACAAGAAATCAGGGCTGTGCATTCAAAAAAAAATACTTGATTATTTCTTCTTCCCTCAGAGTCTAAGCATTGCAAAGACCACTATGACAAGTGAATTCTTTGATATAAATGAACACTTTTCTGATGCTTTCTCTTTGTCTTGCCATGGAAACCTGCTTTCAGGTGGTCAGGTCTTTTTTGTTACCAGCACTTCAGCTTTCTTAAGATTTTGAATGAGATGAGGAAAGAATATAACTCTCAAAGCAAATACATCCCAGTGAACTAAGACCCTCACTATTCTTATTCTCAAAGGCACACACAGACCAAGTTAATTAGTTTCCCATGCGTAGAAATAGGAAGTGCTCTAACATGAGTTAGGAGTCTTAGTATTTCATAGCTCTGGGTCAGAAGACTTGGGCTTAGGTCTCCAAAGGGTACATCCATGCTGGTAAATGAAAAGGATCAAGTGCTGGCACAGACACCCACCATGCTCAACTGAGCATACACGCCCTGGCACAGTCCCAGCCTTTGTCAGCCAGCATCCCCCAGTCAGTGCCTAAACACAGCTCAGCAAGCAGCGTGGACCTCTCTTAGCCCCTCAGCACTCCCTACACCAGCTAATATTTAAAGATGTTTCACTTACAAATGGGCTCTGAAGGTTAAATTACCTACCTTGAGGTTGAGCCCTCCTGACTTGCCATTGTATTTCAACGCAAAGTAAGACAACTTTGCTGCATAGCGCTCCTGCACTTTTCATTGGTGAGAGCCCTTTCGTGCCTAAGGGTTTGCAAGTGCAGCCTCCTGGTCCTGCATGGGTTGGGGTTTAGCTCCTGTGCTGTGGGGCTGCTGCCCAGCCTGGCCCTAGCATCAGGGCCAAAGAGGATCCTTGGCACACACGAGGGGCAGACCACAGGAGACAGGAGTGTTGAAGCTCTGACCTTTGCCTGACACAGAAGTACTCACCTGGGGTTGGAAAAAAAAGAACAGAAATAAAGAGGGAGAGGGAACACGAGTAGCTCTGCAACCTGATGGTTCTGGGCATCACCCAAAGGTATCACTGAAGAAGGATGCCAGCAAGAACCAGCAAAAGGGAGGCTGAAAGAGTAAACGTGACAGACGAGCTCATGTTGCTTCGTGTGCTGTGGGAAAAGCCTCAGAGACTGGGGCAACGATGCTGGATGAAATCCTGCCCATAATAACAGTATTTCAAACTGCCGTAGGGAGCGATGCAGTGGGAACGCTGGCCCCAAATACGGAGCATATTCAAGAGCCATAAGAAGGATTTCTCACAACAAATTCAAGCACTTAGAAGTAAGCAATGAAATCAATCCTACAATCAAGCAGAAGTGCCTATGTGGAAAAATATGGCTCAGTTGCACTTGTAACATCAGAGAAATTTCTTCCACGTTTAGGCCTAGTGAGGTCAATGAGATTATTTTTTTGAGTAAAATAAAACCACATGTGCACATGATTGCAAAATTGAGAGTTCAAATGCAAACACTTTCTAGGAAAATCTGTATTTTCCTTTCTTTTGCCTCCCATGAAAATATATAGATTATAAATTGGATGGGAACCATGGACTTGGAATACTGACAAACTACAAACCCCCTCACTTCAGATTAAA